AGAACAACTTCATGAAAATATGGTAACGCAGTAATGGAATTCTGAGTGTTCCTATTGATTGCTACAGGCCAATCAATGTTCAATGGAGATGGAACACATCCACCGTAATGCCGGAGGCTGAGGAATACTCAAGTAAACATGGGGTGCCACTTTTTGCATGCAATGATCAGTTATTTGAATTTCAGCATCAGGATAATAACGAATTCAAGAAGAACTTCAGAAGCTCCCCTTTAGGATCCTCAAGAAGAGTCTCGTCCCCAGAAACAGTTAGTTTTGAATCCAATTCGTACCAAAACATCAAAGTTCTCACCGATGACTGGGAGCTCAATTCCCCAATTTCTGTTGTCTCCTCTTCGCTTTATCAAGAACCTCAGACAAAACTTTCAGTCCATGAGCACGTGTTCTCAGAACAAATTATAGAAGGTGATGATTACGAAGATGAGGATGATGAAGTTATGAGCTCCTATGTCATTGAACTCAACTCCAACCTGGGAAGGGAAGAGTGTGGAGCATCCGCCATTGATGATGCAATTGCATGGGCCAAAGAGAAGTTTCAATCACGAAACTCTGATGAAGAATCAAGCGCGAGAAATGAGCAAATTGTTGGAAGACAAGGTGATTATCTTTGAAAAAGACAAGTTTCCTACGAAGTTAACAACATATTTTAGTCCTGAAACAGACAATAGTAGACACTTACATTTGTATCCTTATGATGCAGGAAGATCTGATGCAAGTGAATACCACCATGATGATGGGACTCGAATAATTTACCCAATGGAGGTAATGTATTGGATATGCTTAAATAAGTAATCAGAAGATCATGTCATATAACTGATACAAAGATTAACCAGATATTTTTTAAAACAAATTTCTTTTAAAAAAAGGCAATAATCTAATAACAACCTATCCTTTTTGAAGTAATTTCAATTTCAATCATTCCATGCTTGGCCAATCGTTAAAGATTGATTGATGACACAACCACCAATTCACAGTATCACTTTACTAGTTGCTAAAAGATACTGTTTAAAAACATAAATGGCAGAATATACTTTTGTATATATAAGTGATTTTTGAACTAAGAATGAAATCAAAACCATACAGATTCAGAATCAGATTAGAATGATAAAGAAAGTGTATGTTATTAAAAATGAGTAAAAGTTAACTTCTAGCTAAAAGCACTTGTATTTTTTGAAGCAATTAAAACTTGCATACCTTGTAAAGGCATTGGTTCATATTAGGATTTTCCTTTATTTCTATTTGTATGTCGTTAAAATTAAGATTATTGATAGCTGTGTCTTTTCTACAGAAGCAACTGACTGAGACAGAAAAATTGGACGGAGATATAAGATTGTGGTCATCTGGCAAGCAAAGAGATATTAGGCTACTACTTTCGACACTGCATCATGTAAGATTTTCTTTGTTGATTTCCTACAGCTGACGGTTTATCAAATCTGCAGTTTTATACCACTTTGACAAACACATTAACAGGAGAATTGACCTGATTTTTTTTTTTAATTACTAGATTCTATGTCTTGAGAGTGGTTGGCGTGCTATTCCTCTTATGAGTCTACTAGAAAGCTCACAAGTGAAAAAGGCTTATCAGAAAGCAAGGTTATGCCTGCATCCAGACAAACTGCAGCAAAGAGGAGCAACATCCCTACAGAAGTATGTAGCAGAGAAGGCTTTCTCAATTCTTCAGGTTTGTAAAATTTCTAGACCATATATATAAACAAATTCTGCTTCTATCATTGTTTGTTTAGGCGATAAAGTATTCACTGAGGTCTGAGGATCATTGTTGATTTCATCTTCACATTGAAACAGGATGCATGGGCTGCATTTATTTCCGAAGATGTTTCGTTTTAGCCAGCGGATGACTCTAATTCTTGGTAGCTCAGTTTTGTCTGGAATAAGTGTTAGTTGACATGCAGCACATAAATCTAAAACCATGAAACTTGAAAACATAAGCTCTTTTGTACAAATTGTTGCTGATGGATCTACTGTTTTATTTATGTTTTGTATCATAACTTCATAAGCTGTTTGTTGCTTTAGTAGGTATATTTCTGATGTAATTACCAGAAAGTAATTGGTCTTATATTTGATTTGTAAATTAAATGATTACTTTATTGGAGATTAGCTGTCATCACACTACCAGACAACAAGATATTAAATACCATAAATTATTAGAAAAAACAAGTACAATGTCTCACATTAAATTCAATTACAAAACTTGTTCTTATAAGAAGGGAGAGAGCTTGGACAAGTTGGGAAAAGAGTAAAGTCTCCTTTCTGCACTAGTGGACTCCTTGAGTTTAAGATTTGATTGCGTTGTCGGAGTACTAAATGGAAGTTTACTTCCAAAACTATCTATGACGCTTAAATTAGTAACAACTTTGCAAAGATAAAAATGAATAAAAATGATCAAGTGTGGACTCCCAGTGATGTATATTTAAAGGTTGTTGGACTTCTGTGAATGATGCTAAATGATAAAAAAATATTTGGTTGTGAGAACTAAGATATTTTACAATCAAATTTTGGTTTATATTCAATACTTGAATTCAACTCTAACATCCATTATAATATGAATATACTCCAAATTTAAGTATCTTAACAGTGGTGGGTATATATACAAGCTTCCAAAATAGAAAGTTGAGTAAGTAATTTAAGAGTGTTTTTCTCTGCACCATCACACCCTTCTCTTGTAACTCCCCAATTTTTCATAATTTCAAAAGTAACTTAGGTAAATAATATTTACTTTTACTTTACCTTTTCATTTTTTTTTTCAAATCCTAATATCTTTCTCTTTTCACTCCACTGGTGCACCCCACCTCACCCCACCTTTCATTTTCTAAATTCTTTCTTTCCATCTTCTTCTCCTCTCCATTCTTTTTCAATACCACTCCAACCCCTTCTTCACCCTTTCAAAATATAAAAAACGCATCACCATCTCGGCAGCACCATTTTCATACTTTATCTTTGCATCCCTTCAACACAACCCATCATTCATCTCCATTCCCACCATTTTTCACACAAATAAAATCACAGAGCAGATTCAACCCCATGCTCCATTCATCATCATCAACCAATACATTTTCCTTCATCTTTACCCTTCATGTTCATCTTCTTTCTCACCTCTTCATCATCTTCAACAAATTCCACACTCAACCTTTTTCCTCCAACATCTTTTTTCTCCAACAAAATCACTGTCTGAACAATCATTCAGAACCATATCATTTTCATCCCCTCCATCCAGCTAGCATTCTCGTCCAACATACACAAACCCAATCAAAACAGAGAAACATTTCGAACAGAGAGCGCGCTAGGGAGGCAGCGGGCGCCAACTCCCGATCTATATTTCGAATGAAGAAAGAAGTGTCGACGGTGGTGGTCCCGGAAGCGAATAGTGTGACCCAAAGATGAATAGGGAGTTCACGTCTTCGTCGGGGTTCGGTCTTATTGGGGAGGTTCGATATACACATATCTCCACACTGGTAAGATATTGTCCGCTTTGGGCCAAACCCTCACGGATTTGCTTTTGGTACCACTCCAAAAGGCCTCTTACCAATGGAGGTATCGATGTGTATATAAACCCATGTCCAACTCTTCTTTTATCCAATGTGGAACTTTGTTTGTACTCCAACATCTTCCCTCAAACAAAGGACTATGGTTCTCCTTCCTCCCCTATTACGGAAGTGTTTTTAATCCTCGAGTACACCATGGGCACACCATGGTCAACACTGAGCATCTCTTGAATCCATCGATGTCCACTAGATTTGATCTAGTAACAAGAAAATCGTCTACATATAAGCAAATGATGATCAGATCCTCCACAGATTCTCCTTTCACATGTACACCATGCTCCACTGCACATTTGCAGAATGTTTTATTGATTAAGTAAGAATCAATCAACCAGGCTCTGATACCACTGTTAGGAAGGTTCGATATACACATAGATACCTCCATTGGTAAGAGGCCTTTTGGAGTGGTATCAAAATCAAATCCGTGAGGGCTTGGCCCAAAGTGGATAATATCTTACCAGTGTGGAGATATGTGTGTATATCGAACCTCCCCAACAGTGGTATCAGAGCCCATGGTTCAAGTTTGGTGACCGGGCTCATACGAGTAAATCCTTCCATGATCAGGTGAGCTAGGCAGGTGACCAGTGGCAGATCGCCAGATGAATCATGAGAGGTGGAGAGCAAGAGATGCTCAGTGTTGACCATGGTGTGCCCATGGTGTACTCGAGGATTAAAAAGACTTCCGCAATAGGGGAGGAAGGAGAACCATAGTCCTTTGTTTGCGGGAGGATGTTAGGGTATAAACAAAGTCTCACATTGGATAAAAGAAGAGTTGGACATGAGTTTATATACACATAGATACCTCCATTGGTAAGAGACCTTTTGGAGTGGTACCAAAAGCAAATTCGTGAGGGCTTGGCCCAAAGCAGTCAATATCTTACCAATGTGGAGATATGTGTATATCGAACCTCCCCAACACCATGGTCAACACTGAGCATCTCTTGCTCTCCACCTCTCATGATTCATCTGGCGATCTGCCACTGGCCACCTGCCTGGCTCAACTAATCATGGAGGGACATACTCGTCTGAGCCCGGTCACCAGCTTGAACCATGCGCTCTGATACCAGTTCTGATGGAACAGTTTAAAGAAAAAGGAACCACTTGCACCGAGTGACAGAGGTAAAAGTAGAGAGAAAAGAATAACTCTGATTTTTCTGTATGAATTGATATGCTGTATATGTTTTAAAGTGTACATGTGTTCTGTTTATATACAGAATGATAGAAATAGTTGTTATGTTGTAATGACAACAACTGTCAAACAAAAGGACTGACTTATACTACTAATATTCCGCCCTAAGTCAAATGTTTAAGGGATACAACTCCTATGCTCTCTTTCAAAGAATCAAACCTTTCTATCCTCAAAGGTTTGGTAAATAAATCAGCCAACTACACATCAGTTTTGCAGTAGGCTAGAGCAATCCTTCCCTAATTCACCATGTCCCTTAGAAAGTGAAATTTAACTTTTTTATGTTTACTCCTTCCATGGCTAACAGAATTCTTGGCCAAATTCATTGCTGAAACATTATCAATCTTCAACTGTATTGGCTTCTCCATAGGCACCTTCAATTCTTTCATCAACTCCTTAATCCAAACACCTTGACAAGTAGAAAAACTCTTATCTATATACTCAGTTTCACATCTTGAGACAGTCACCACCGGTTGTTTGTTAGAGCACCAGGAAATAGGAGCACCATTCAACATGAAGATATATCCAGAGGTGCTTTTCCTCTCAATTTGATCACCACCATAATCTGAATTTGTGTAGCCTGTTATCTCCATTGCAGTCTTCTTTCTTCCTCCAGGAAATAGAATTCCATAATCCAGTGTGCCTTTGATGTACCGTAGCACCCTTTTTGCAGCCTGCATGTGTGTTTTCTTCTGTTGGGGAGGTTCTATATACACATATCTCCACACTGGTAAGATACTGTCCGCTTTGGGCCAAGCCCTCACGGATTTGCTTTTGGTACCACTCCAAAAGGCCTTTTACCAATGGAGGTATCTATGTTTATAAAAACCCATGTTCAACTCCTCTTTTATCCGATGTGAGACTTTGTTTGCACCCCAACAGGTCCGAAGGGAAGATGCGCGGCAACGGCAGTGGCGTTACGAGCTCGGTAGATGGGCACGTACGGCGACAACCTAGAGTAGTTGAAGTCGTTGGAGAAAGAAGAAACCCCTTTGGCGAAGGGAGATGAAGGGCACAACGTACTAGAGTTTGCTGGAGTGCTACGATAAAGCGTCACATTATATAATAAACAATTAACAATGCTCGAAACGTTAGAAGGATGTACAAATCCATCAAACGGATATCAACACCAGTTAAAGTTGAAGTTGAAGTTGAAGGAGAAACAGATGTCGGATGTTGATATTCGTTGAAGGCCCAACGAATTTGTCATTTCCGTTGAGGCCTTCAACCACTATAGTTTAATTTTAACTGAGGGGTATTTGTGGAATGTGGTGATGGAGGAAGAAAGGTGTGGTGGTATAGGAAGAAACTCTCGTAATTTAAATAAGAAAGTGGACGATTAGTTCTTATGAGGATGAATGAGTTGGGTGAACTCAATATTTTATGATCGAGTTATACAGGTTCAACCTTTTATGATCATGTTTGCATATACTTTGTTGCTTTTGATAATAGTAACTCTTACTTATTGAGCATATGATAAAAATTGTGCATTTATGAACCATCATTGTAGATAATGAATTTAACACTTGTCATTAATCATATGAAGGAATGTACCTTTAATATTCATTAATGGGGGATTTTGAATGTCTTGAAACATCACAAAGCTTGCATAAGAGATGCTTTGTTCATGTTTTCTAATGAAGTCCTTTATTACAAGACACAAATTTTCATTAGTTGTTTTTGTTACACACGTTGGATAAATATTGTAAAATACTATTTCTTTTAGCGGATGAAAGTTATTTTTGTTAACGTTGCAATTTTTCACCGCAAGCCTCGGGAAGTATGGCTTGAACGACTTTTGTCAAAAGCTTTATTGAGAAAGTGTCCCAATCATGGATTCAACCTGGAGATGCAAGTGCAAACTTTTTGTAATGGGCTGCAACCTCAAACTAAGATGATACTAGATGCATCCTTTGGTGGTTCGGTTCTATTCAAAACTATTGATGAATTCATTGCTATTATTGAAAATATGGCTTCCACTGATATGCGGAGTCAACATGGAAGAACACAAGCACAAAAGAGAGGAGTTTATGAACTTAGTGGTCAAGATGCACTACTTGCACAAAACAAACTTCTTGCCCAACAAATGAAGCTCTTAACCCAAAGTATGGCCAAGTTACCTTAGTAGTTGCAAGCAATGAGCTCAACCGCATCATCAGGTAATGAGATGCAATTTCTGTGGAGATAACCATCCTAATGGCCATTGTCAAGTTCCTAGTAGCTCTCAATATGAAGAAATCAATTATATGGGGAACCAAGGATGGCAAAATATATTCAACAACCCTTTTCATAATCCTTCCAATCAAGGGTGGAGGCAACCTCAAGGAGCTTCTAGGAATAGAAATCCATATCAACCTACTCAACATCATCCATCTTAGAATGATCGGACTTCAAAACTAGGAAAAACATTGCAAATGTTCATGTAGCCGTCCATCCAAAACTAGAAAAATTCTGATGCATCCATAAAGAATCTGGAAGTGCAAATTGGTCAATTAGCTAAGCTATTGGCAAACCAACATGGTGGACAATTTTCTGTTAATACTCAAGCCAACCCTAAGTAAGAGTGTAATGTCATATTCACTAGAAGTGGAAAAGAGGTTGGGAGAAAAGAAGAAGAAAAAGAAAATAAGAAAAGGGAAGAAGAAGAAGAGAATCAAGAAGAAAAAGAAGTGGAAGAAGAGATTGTTGGAGGAGGAAAAGAAAATAAAAGTCAAGAAAAAGAGAAAAATAAGAAAGAATGAGAGTTTGTGAAACACCTTCCTTATCCAAAAAACCAATCTAACAAAGAGAAGGAGAAACAATTGGTTTTGTTCAAGCAAATATTTAACCAGTTGGAGATCACCATACCCTTGACCGAAACACTGCAACAAATTCCCACCTATGCAAAGTACATGAAGCAAATCATCAACAAGAAGAAGAAGTATTTAGATGAGGGAACATTTGAAGTGCAGGAAAATTGCAGTGCCATCATGTAGAAGACTATCCCTCCAAAATTCAAAGATTCGGGGAGTTTCACCATTCCTTGCACCAAATTGGAAACCATGATATAGGGAAGGCCCTTATTGATTTAGGGGCTAGCATCAATCTGATGCCTCTATCTATGCTTAAAAAGATTGGTGGTCTTGAAGTCAAGCCAACAAAAATGATGCTTCAGTTGGCAGATAGGTCCATCAAATATCCATATTGTGTGGTAGAAGACGTGGTGATAAAAATTGATAAGCTCCAATTCCCGATGGACTTTGTAGTGATGGAGATGGAGGAAGATGTAGAGATATCACTCATCCTTGGAAGACCTTTCATGAAGACAACTAAGGTTGTCATTCATATGGAAGAGGGAATACTGAAATTAAAAGACCAATATAGAGAGGTAACTTTCAATGTCTTCAAAGCTATGCAGCAAGGTGAAGAATAACAAACTAGTCTTGAAGCAACCGATGAACTTCTATTAGCTACTAGTCTAATAGGGCAAGCTGCCAAGTTGGTCAAGAGGAGCCTTAATTGCTTCTCTCCAAAAGTGAAGGGAGAAGAAGAAGATAAGGAAGAGAAACTAGCTCACCAAAATCCTGTGATGGAAAGCGATGAACCCAAACCTGGCAAACCAGTGAGAATTAGGAATAGGTTATGGGTCATCAAGAACATAACTATAAATGAAGTACTTGAAATTGAGGCTCCCTATTCTAGAAGAGTCAAGTTGGTGACTAGGAAGCTATTGAGAGGATGTTGGTGTGATGAAAGGAAGAAGCACACCAACATCAAGAATCAAACCTAATAGACATATTTATCAAGCTAGTGATGATAAACAAGTGCATACTGGGAGGCAACCCAGTTTTCTAACCTTTTTCTTATGTGTGATTTTGTTATTTGAGGGTGTTTCTATTGTTTGAATTTGCTTTAGAATGTTTTAGTTTGAATTGTAACTTATGTGATGTTAATAGTTGAATTGGTGTAATGTTAAGTGTTGTGGTAAATTGATGTGAATAGGAGTGGTTCAATCTGTTTTGATGTGTTCTGGTGTGTTTATCTATGTTTTATTATGTTTTGTTGAGTTTAAGTGTGTTTAAAGTGTAAAAATGTGAAGCCTTGAGTTGTAGAATTAGAAAGCTTTGGAAGTGTGCACTTAAATGAAAAATACTTGATTTCCTTACCTTCAGCTGAGTAGAAGATTTATTTTACTACAAGAGAATGGTTTAAGTTTGGGGGAGTTGAATGAAGGAAAAGAAGAAAGAAAAGATAAAGAAAACGAATTGAATGAAAGAAAGTTAGGATATAAGTTCGAAATTGGTTGTAATTTAAGTGAAGCGAAAAAGAAATTTATGTGCATGATTTGAATTGTTTAATGTCTCAGCTCTTATGTGTTTAAAGTAGTTGAAAGAAGTCTATGCATCAATTGAAGACACTAGAACCCAAGGCAAGGAAGAAAAATAGCAAAAATGAAGAATCAAAATTCTGTTGAAGCTAGCTCGGGTACCCTTTTTCCATGGGCGCTTGAGCGCCGATGCACTAGCTTCTGAGTTTGACTGGGTTGCATCCGGGCGCCCATTGTATAGCGACGCTTGAGCGCCATTTGCTGACGGACACGCGCTAGAGCTTGAACTTGAGCGCCACTTTCGCTAACATGGCAGAATTGGCTTATTTAACCCTAAAACGGAAGGGGTTTGACATATTTGGCCACCCAAACGTGATTCCTCTCTACTGGATCTCTTCGAGGTGAGCTAGGAGTTGTGGGAACAATCCTTCTTCATCCTTGGGTCTTCTTGCTTCTTCCATTGCCACTATTGTTGTAAGCTCAAGCTCTCCATTCAAGGAGAGCTAGTTTCATTGTTGTTGGGGGATGGATGTAGCTACAGGACTCTTATGTAATTGTTACTGATTTGAATAGATTTGATGCTTCTTTCATTGATTGCTAGTATTTTGTTCCTTCTCTTAATGCTTGTTGTGAACTTGCTACCCATGGCATGATAATTGGTTTACTTGATATTGGGAAATATTGTGTAAACCTAGAACTGGAACAAATTACCCAAAGGGAATTGTATCTAGGGATAGAACTTGGACTTTTGGTTGTCTTGGGTCTCAATTCTTAAACCGGATTAATTTGTTAGGTTTTCCAAGGGATTGGAGTTTAATAAGGAAGTCTAGGCTCTCTCTACCAAGGGATTGGGTTTGAGTAAATTAGAAGATTGACATTAGTAAGTTAATGAAGAATGTGCAATTTTACATGTATAAGAGTGAAGTAGGTGAAATCATACCCCCAAAAATACCAATTCATATCATTTCAAATTGTTAGAAATAGAGAGACTTGCTTCTCAACACTAAGAGAGGAGGGGGGGGGGGTGAATTGGTGATTTATAAAACCAAACAATTTTCAAATCTTTTTGCAAAAGTAGAATGATCTTTAAACTTTCTTGCAATGTTAGTTGTTGAGATTGTTGATAGGGGAGCACTGGTTTAGCTTAACCCACAATCTTAGTGATATTTGAGTTTTTGATGATGACAACACATAATTAATAACACACATGTATTTGGTGTTACATGTTCTATGCTTACATGTTATATGCGTTTTTGAGAACATGATTGTGTTGTTTGTGTTGTTCATTGCATTTCACTGTTATATATGTGATTTTATACATGAATGAATGACACATGTTTTTGGAAAAGAAAAACCACAAGCACTTTTGTTGAA